TTTTTTTTTGTTCGGCCCAAAAGTACTCATGCAGTGACGACACGTTTTTAGAAACATTTCCCAGATCGTGAATACGTGGTTCTCAGTAGCAGTGAAGTCAATAAGACACAATTGCATGTATTCTATGCTCGCATTATCGGCTTTAGAATAATTATAAAGCAATTATATGCGAAGCATTTCTTAGCTAAATTCGGCGACTTTGAGCGTATCTAGCTATCTAGCCGCTTACAACATTTAGCTCTCCTGGCCGTTTCAATTATGGTACCAATACCAAACTTGGTATGACATAACATCACTGTATGAGGAATATATTTGACTAATGACATGAAAATCAAGACATTTATATCATGAATGTCGTGATTTAGATTTCATGGTCCTGCAGCTCTTGAGATGGTTTCGTCCACATGGCATGTTGGAAAACTGGTGTGGTATGATATGATTGCATGAAAAACACAAGCGACAGACCCTAATATTAAAATCATGGCATGCCCGTCATGTAACAACATGACTTCATGCCCAGCTCATGATGCGCTCACGGCCGTTTCGTTAGCTTCACATGTACCAAACTCGGTATTACGTGATGTGAACGGACGACATAGGTAAATGACACATCCAAACATGATAATCATGACATGCGTACCATGTAACAACATGACTACATGCCACACTCATCAGATTTGGGTGCACGTTAAAGAACCCCAGGTTGTCTAAATTTCCGGAGCCCTCCACTACGGCGTCTCTCATAATCATATAGTGGTTTTGGCACGTTAAACCCCACATATCAATCAATCAATGCCACACTCATGATGCACTCGCGGCCGTTTCGCTAGCTTCACACCTGCCAAGTTTGGTATTACGTCACGTCAATGGATCACGAAGGTATGTGACGGATGCAAACACGACAATCATGTGATGCTGTAATGTGAGAACAGGACGACATGCCACAGTCAAGGCGCCAATACGTGACGTGGTGGGCGTGCTCGCCGGCGTTCATTTTGTCGCGTCACGCCGGCGTCCCTACGCCAGGCAACAGTCCTGCAACACACTCGCAGGCGCGCGCCACACTGCGTTGCTTTGTCGCATGCGCGTGTCAGTGCGTCCGGCGTCCCTTCGTCACAAAAAGAGGGAACGCGTGTTGTCTGGGTAACGCATCGGAGCAAATTTCGCGCCGGTTGCCATCATGCCGCACCGACCGACGCTAGTCGCACCGGTCGCACCTGGCGTCAGACCATAGAGTCCTCCCGCTATGCTAACGTTGCGTCGCTGTGTCCAGCGTGTGCACGCGTCAACGCTACATTGGAGTATATTCGGCCCTAAAATGCGCTCACGGTCGTTTTGCCAGCTCCACATATACGAAATACGGTGTTACGTGACGTCAATGAATGATGAAATATGACTGGTGCCAAATTGATAATCCTGACACGCATATCATGTAAGAACATGACAACATGCCACGCTAATAGCACGCTCGCGGCCGTTTCGCTAGCTCCACATGTACTAAACTAGGCATCACGTGACGTAAATAGATAAAGGTAAACAACGCATCCAAACACGATTATCATGACACGGAAGTCAAGTACGGCATCATTTACTTCCGCCCCGTAAATTGTGCTCATTTTACAGTGTCATAAGAACCTTCCTTATTTGTCCTTCGCATGTAATCGATTTCCACTGTACGTGGGATCTGCCAGTTTTTTGATTGTGCGTTTGGTGATAACAGGCGCAAATATCGGCAATGAGACAGTTAAAAGCTTGTGATCAGAGAGACCTGTATCAACTGCTCTAAATGGTCCAAGTTCGTCCTAAATTTTGGGATTGTCTGGTGTAGAGTGCCGAAACCTTTAAGCACAGACACGAAGCATCTCTTCCACCACGTCTGCTGTGAATTGTCGCCCACGGTCACTGATTACAGTTTTTGGAGGTCCGCGTCGTGAATCACGAAACATAGTGTGAAGAAAGACACATCGGCTTCAGTTGACGATGGTATGGCACCTGTCTCGCAGTACCGTGGTAAATGATTGGTGCATACGAACACCCAGATCTTTCCATCAGAAGACCAGAGAAAGACCCAAGAAGGTCACTCCCGACTTGCTCGAACGGAGTTATAGGGGGGCGGCACCGTATGTAATTGTCGCGGAGGAGCACTAGTTGCGCGCTTGTGACGTTTACGATCGCTTCAGCTAGACAAGTAGTGTTCCATCGTCTGGTGCCTTTTTGGGCAAGCAAAGCCTTTCTTGAAGACGGCAAAGAATTTTCGCTGTGGCTAAATGACCGGATGGTGGGTTCTCATGCATAACCTGCAGGACGCAAAGGCAGGGACTCTTTGGAGCCACCAGAAGATAGCGTGAGTCGGTGCTCGTGTATCTTTTTTTTTTTTTTGTGAACTAGTGCGTCTCGGGTAAATCGCGTAGGTGATGATATTCGTTTGGTAAAAAGAAGTTGCTGTAAGGTGCAGTTCTTTTGTTACTCACGTTAAAAGACCTTGGTATTGGGAATTGATTGGTCCAGTGATGCGATGTATGTGTCGAAGTTGTCCACGTCACATTCTGTCGTTGGAAGCAGTAGTCACAGAAGACAATCTGCGTCAGCGTGACGTCGGCTGCTTTTATAGGAAACCGTGCAATCATATTCTTGTTGTGTGGACAAAATGACCAGCAAGCAAACCGGCCAGATGAGTCACGCAGATTCACCAACCGTAAGAGAGAATAATGGTATGTCACGAGGGTAAAGGGGCGTCCGTGGAGGTAGGACCGGTGGCGCTGCACCGTAGCCCCGTGTACATGGACGCGACGGGGGCGGGCTGAGTTGAGTGGCGGGTTCAGCTTACCTCGACGCGCCCGAGTTTATATGAACTCGCACGGGCGAGTTGAGGTGAGCGGTGATCGCAGCGACGCTTTGCATCGAGGCGAGCCGAAAGCCCGTCTTCCGGTACCGGTTTCCGCTCCTCCAAGCCTGCGCTCTCACCTCTCGCTGCTGTGGGCGGCGGTTGTTTACGCAGTTGTCGCTCCACCACCACGATGGCTGTCTTGGTATTTTTCTCAGTTTGCACCAGCTGTACTTTATGGTTGTGTTGGTGTCTTGGCTACCACTGCACAACACGATGCTAATCGGAACACCTGAGCTACTTAACAACCAAAAACGTGCAACAGATGTAAACAAATCAGGCACCGAAACGTACCATTGTCGTGATATGGAATTAGCTTTATGAAGTAACTATGCTCAGGCATGTTCACTGCCAATCTCTTGGTATAGCTTGATTGCACTTTCTAGGTCTACTGTCTGTTATCATTCATTGAGACCACTTCATTCATAAAGGGAAGTCAAACTTGTTCGTGAACTGGAGACACTATGACGATACAGTACCAATGCTCGCAAAGCTATGTAAGAAGGCAGTTTAGGTTTGTGAGAAATGGCATTTTGACTGCTCAAGTGCAGGGTATTGGTTGCTGGGGATTTTCGTTAAGCTTCGTCCATCACTGTCCCAGAATTTTTTTCATGAAAAATTTCTTTGCCTCAGCAATGGCTGTACTCACAAAGGCAACATGGCAGCTGTAGACAAGCGATTTGTTTGTTTCAGCACTGTTATAGTGTCAACTGTTTAGTGTGGATAATGCCTGCGTACAGCTGGCGTATGCTTGTTTCGAGCTACATGGTTTTTTGATGACTTTATATTGCCAATACCTTTACTTTTAACATTTATGAAGTTTTTTGCTATGTAAATGTACTTTCATCGTAGCCATCCTTTCCTCTGCGAATTTTAAACCGCAGTCCCTGAGTGTGTCTAACTGTATTTATTGCTCAAACTTGTAATGTCATTTTTTCCCCCTATGGTGCTGTATATTCCCTGGTCCCTTCAAGCTGACGCTATATTTCTATGGCTCCTGTTGTTAGCACTAAAAGCTGACGCTTTTTTCTTTTCCAATGTTGTCTTCCAGTGTGTCAAAGTTGTGATTTCAATTTTGTATGCAAATAAAAAATTTCAAATATAGTTTCGTCTCAATTGTGCAATAAATTTACGCTTTAGGCTATTTCAAGCAAAAAAAAACTTTGAGGCAATTTTTGCCTTCTATGATTGAGGCTCCATTTTGTGAAACCTTATTTGAATCTCTCAGTTTAATTTTTTTTGGCTCTCCCCCGCTTTTGCCTTTAGGCTTATATAAAGGTTTCTTAATTTTGGGAAGTTTCTGATTTAAATAATTTAATTCATGGGTCCCGGGCGACTTTTCAATCGCGGTTTTACGGTAGTCGTGTCCCACTGCCGTTGTGTGTACGCATCGTACTTGTGTTAAGCAGTAGAAACCAAGTGGAATTCCAGACAACGGAACGGGTGTAATGTGACCATCTTCCACTCAGGTCCTAGAGTTTTCTAAGATGCACAGCACTAGTCTCTCACTACTGTGCCTTGTTTGTTATCCAAAGAGGCAGCGAGGCGAGACATTGCACTGTGGCATATCTGAAAAATCAGAAGTAAGGGCAAACGCGTAAGCCTGGAGGTGAAATACTGGGCTGAACTCAGTGGCAGTAGGCGACAAAGGGGTAGATGTTTAGGGGCTTTTATTTTGTTAACCATACACAACTGCGCACATACATTGCACACACAAAGAAAAGTTGGCCTATTGCCTCGGAGCGCGACTGTGCCCTGGCAGGTAGGACATGAACGGTGGCATTTGGGCAGGAGGGGGGGTGTGCATGCCTTGAAGACCGCTTAGAAGGTTGGCGTGATGGACAAGAAACTGTCCCATAAGGGCTTGTGTTCCCTGCAAGAAGGATTTTGTGACTCCTGCCAGGAGCTCCTTCATATTTTCATGCTCTCTTTAGAGAAGCTGATTTTCCATTTCGAAGCGAATGGTATTCTGCTTCTCTTGCTGCTCAATGTTCTTTTCATACATCTTATCCAACACCTTTTCAAACGTGGTTGTCTTGCGGCGCTTCGGGGGGGGGGGGGGGGTTGCATCAGGGGTCAGGTTTCCACGTTGTGTTCCTGATGCGCTTGCTTCTCCTTGCGATGGCGTAGATGTTGCAGCTGAAAATAGAATTCCCATGAGAGAGCCTTTTTCACGTTTATCATAGCCTCTTTAGCTTTTTTTCTTCTTCAGTCTTATGTAGTTTTGTCTTATCCATTTCAGAGGGGGATGTAATTGACCTTGATGTTTTATGTATGCTCCTTTTTATGACATGTGTAGGAATACGTGGTCTGTCTGCATGTTGGCTGTAAGGCGAGTATGTGAAAAAGGCTTAACCTTTTCAATTTGCGAGTGCTACAACTGTTATTTAATACTTTATATTTTCCCACATATATTGTGGTCTGAGGCTTTACTGTGTATGGAGGGAGTCTAAGAATCGAGAAAAGTAATTAATATCTCGAAGAATTCTTGTGCATAGAAAAACTGAGGAACTGTGGAGTAAGTCTTTCAAAAAGTGACTTGTGTCTTAGGGAAAACATGAGCCACATATGTCTTCGAACACCTGACTACACTTGTTTCGCTGGCAATTTTGTTCCAAGAGTGGACATGACCTGCAATGAACTCATGTATATGCAGTAAATAAAGCTTGCACGCATGTTCTCTGCATCGTTTTTTTTTTCGGTCATATTGAACACTGACGTAGGAAACATGACTGCTGTGGCATTACAGCGCAGAAAAAAAAGCACTTACAGGTTTCTAGATCGTCGGACGCATCTCCTTCCTCTTCGCTGCCATCTGCAATTATAAGTATTGGATTAGTGCATTTGCCATAGGTCTTCATTGTAATCAGGGACGGGAATATTGACAGTACAACCATGTGCATGGTCAATTCATGATCTACATTTATCCTGCGTAGCATTCCTTGCCGAGTACCCCAGCACCTTAGACTGTGGAATGCCCTGCCTTCAAACAAAAATGTGTGACGGGCAGAGTAACACATTTAATGGTTATAACCAAAATGGAGATAATTGGTCAAACAGATTTTTATCGCCATAAATGTGCAAATTCCCTTAATTGGTCATACGTCATTATCAATAAAAAACAAGAATAACCAAAATTTAAAAATATCACAAGAACGAAGTTACGAAATAAATACATGGCTCATTCCACGCCAAACGTTCCAGGCAGTACGCTCGACCATCTCCGATAAGAATATAAAAATTCATGGTCGATCGTTTGACTACACTAACGTTTGACTACACTACACTACAGTGGCGAGGTGACCAGAAACTTTATTAAAGCGTTCATGTGCACGTAATTGAGATTTCTGGCGCACAAGCCGATTTCCTGCTATGGGCAGAGCAAAATAGCCGGTCGTGAGAACGATAACCAACAAGCTCTCGTAGACCGTGCCAAGCAAGATTTAAACGCAAAAGTGATGTGCATTTACCGCATAACAGAACGATGTCCTCGTCTTCGGCGGCGGTGTCAACGCCGTAATCTCTTGCTTGCACCATCGGGCGGTCGCCAAGCAGAAGGCTCATTTTGTCAAACCACTTCCGATTTGACGGCTCCCCGCCACTTTTGCATGGGAGCAGGCGTTCTTGCGAATGCCAAAAAAGTCATTAGAAATTAAAGCGCCTGAACACTTTTCGAATCAAAGCGAACAGGGAGGTACTTACAGCCGTGAAGCGTTTCTTCAAATTCTTCCAAAAGGTCCTTATTTGCTCCCACGTCCACGTCAGGCCCTGTTCCTTCAAACATCTTTCCAGGTCCATGAATATGTCCGTATTTTTTTTTTTTGCCGCTTGCTATCGAGCAAATCACTGAGTTTTTTCTCGTTGACTAAAGCTAGCAACGTCGTTATTTCATCATCTGTCCACATGGTGCGTGGAGTCCGCGAGGATGTCATCGTGCCTAGCGCGCGCGTACCGGCCGACAGAGAAAGAGCAACGTCGGAGTGATGGGGAAAGGGGAAGAGGAGACCGTGACGGGTGGGAGAGGTCTCGAGCCGTCAACTCAGCGCAACCGGTTATACGTGCCCTTTCTGAGCGCGGCGAGTTCGGTGAACCTACCCCCTGTCTCCGGGTCGACGGGACTCGCCGCGACGACTCTCCGCCCTGACGTGTCCGCTTATACATGGAAAGGGCGAGTCCAGAAAACCTGTTTATTTCGACTCAACGCGCCCTCGTGGGGTCAATGTAAACGGGCCTCGTGAAGACTACTGCAAGGCATTCTTGCTCTGTGAAATTGTAGTTACGCTCGGACTTGCTAAGCGAGTGACCTGCATACGCTACGACATGTTCTTTATTACCCAAGTGTTGAACCAAGACTGCACCTACAACAATAGCACGTATGAAGTTCAGTGGAAGCCAGAGAATTGAAAAGAATCGCATGGGACGTCAAAAGAAGCTTCAAATCAGAAAAAGGGGACTGAGGTCCAGTCAAACTGCGTCGCTTTGAAGCAGGCAATGGAGCGGATGCACTCTAAGGCAAAATTACCCGAAAAAAGAGTAACAAAGCCCAATAGGCGTGCGCGATGAACGGTTAGGCCATTGAGCAGCAACCACAGGAAGAAGCGTGCCACCTGCAAACCACCTAGTCTCCAAACACGCTCCAAAGGGATGAACCGCCCGGGAAATGCGGGCAGTGCACAAAGCGTCGCCAAGGTCACCAGCTGTCCTCCGTCTTTCCTGGCTTAGCCTTTCTCCGTATTTTGCTGGCGATTGTTCGCGTTGCGTCATGCTCGGAGTGCTCGAACACGGCCGCCTGGATTTGACGATATAGGAATTACGACGTGGTGCTTATGTGTACGCTTGAATGAGCGGGCGCTGCTGCTTTTACGTTTCGCCGCACCAATGAAGTCTGGAGCAGGTCTTGACACTTCACCACGCCGCGCTGTATATCTCTGTCTTCGAGATAATCACGGCCAACACACGCCTGCAAGTTGGGAAGGCCAACATGGCCGCCGAGAAGACAGCAGGCCTATCGAATACGTTACTTCAGTCCCACTCAGGGCAGAAATCAGCGATGGATTCTTTCGCAAGTATGTGATCATTCTTTATTCTACTCTACTTGTCGCGTGTGCGATACGGATAGCGCTTGCCGGCAACGGGCTCGGTCGCGTTGTATATCGAACGCACGAAATGCATTGCGAAGGTGAGCTTGGGCGCCTGCAGTTCGCCAGCGCTTTGCGACTGCCTGAAATTTGGCCGCCATTGCCGTCAGCCTCCCGTACGCTCGCTCATCGAGTGCTCGCCTGTCTTTGCCGCTGCGATGAGCTCCGGGCTGGCGATATTGGGCTGAGACCTCATCGCTGTGTTGGGAGTCATCGAAAACGCGTTGAGGGTTCTCGTAACGAGCTTGGTTGTATTATGTCGCTCGCTGTAAGAGCACCAGCACGGGCTCGTGGGGCTTTTGTTAGCGTCGGTACTCAGTGAAAATTGGTCGCCCTTACAGATGGCTTCCCGTCAGTCGGTCGCAAGCAGCTCGGCGCCGTCCGTTGGCCGCGGCGGCGGACTTCCGTTTGCGCGCTGCATTTGCACTCGCTCGAGTTTGTGGAAAATGGCCCAATTACCATCGATTTATTCGGTGCGAGCTCCAAATGAGCTCAGCGCTGTTCTTGGCGTAGGCCAAGCGTATGCTCGCTCTCCTGTTCGATGTTCGCTAGTGGCAGACACTCCGCGTGTAGCACCGTGTTTGGTCTCGCGTTCGCTTTCTCGAGCTGAACGACGTCGCTCGCTTAGAACTCGCCGACTTCTTGGCGGCACGCGGCAAAGTGGTTCGCGGAGTCGTGGCTGCGGTCGCCACTCCTAATCAGTTGCGCTACGGGCATCGAAATGAGTCTTTGACAATGTGTGACATCATGGTAAAATATTAGCATGTCATGCCTCACGTATGTTATTGTTTCACCTTGCACGTATTTTTCAGATGTATTCGTGTTCATCCTCTGTCACGTGTGACTAACTATGTTACATACTTGTTTTGCAGCCGTGGACACACACCATGCTTAAGGCTGTGTGCGCTGGCATCTGCGTTGTCTGTCATTCATCTCTTTCGTCCGAGCAGCTTCAGAGTCACTGCACGAGATGTGAAGGTAAAGTTATTTGTGTGTCAAATTTTACACACATGTTTTTGTATTAACTTGCACGTACTTGCCATATGCGTGCATCTACTGACACGTGTGTCTATTTTTTAATCCTATTGTACGTACAGCCATGGGAACACAACAGACAGAAGGCTGCGTGCGCTAGCGTCAGCAATGCCTGTCATCTATTGCTTCCATTTGACGAGCTCCACAAGGAGTGAACAAGATGTGGCAACGAGACTGGACTTTTACACTTCACCAGAAATTCACTTAAGAGAATGGAGAAAATTTATTTGTATGAAGAAGAATAAAAGATTTCGATGTCTTACTTTTGTCTTTCGTTGTTGCAGTGACTGCGAAAGCAGTTACACATAGGTTGCTAACTACTTTTTGCATGTTCATTTCTTCGCTATTTGTAGCTCACTGCGCAGAAAAACAGACAAAAAAAGTGTTAGGCCTGGCCGAAAATAAATAAAAAACAATGTTCAAATTGGGGATGAAAAGTTAATCCGATTCGAGTATTTGAGTGGATCAACCGATAGTTCAGCAAAGTGCAACTGTAAGGACTAACGGTTGTCCAGAAGGTGTAAATGTGGTGATTAACAGTTGCCTTATAAGGTGCAAATGAGAGGACTAAATGTTAGTTCTTTGAGGTGAATTGTGGGACTAACGGTTACTCACTAAGGTGTAAATGTGAGGACTAAATGATAGTCCCTTGAGCTCGTCTGTGGGGACTTACTGTTAAACCCAGTGCCGTTTGTCGTTAAAGGGATAAATGGTTGTGGCAGTTCCATTGTTCTCCAAAAGGACAAACCACACACCCTTTTAATACTTTAATACCCTTTTGCCTTAGAGTGTATTCGGTACTGGCAAAACTTGGAATGAACTGACGGAAGTAGTAACAAAGACACAAAAAGCTGTGCAAATATTTCACAGAGTGAGATTGCTTAAACGCCTCTACTGCAGCTATCTTCACGGGATTCAGTCGTATGTATGCCTTATTTGACCACTAGGTGTCAAAGAACAAGTGCTTGGCGCTTTCTAAAACTACACTTTTTTGCAGGCTTTTTCTGAATCAGTGCAGCTCGACACTGAGGCACGTGTTGTGCTCTCAAAAGGTGCACCGGCAAATCGTTGTCCGAGTGACACATGCACACTTCCCACTTCAATCTACGCAGAGTATTCTCCATGAAGCGCTCAAAAGTTTCAGGTACATTTCAGAGGCCGGACAGCATCACATTAAATTCAATAAGCCCTTCTGTTGTAACAAATGCCGTTATCTCTTTGGTCTTCCTCATACATTGAAATCTGCCAGTAGCCTGACCCTAAATAAACAGACGAAATGTAGGAGACCGATGAAACACAGTCGATAGTATCATCAGTGCGCGGGAGTGGGTATGCGTCTTTTTTGGTGATGGCATTGAGACGGCCGTAGTCAACGCAAATTTGACAAGTCCCATCCTTCTTCTTCACACGAACTACTGGAGCGGCCCACGGACTACATGATTTTTGAATTACGTTTTTTTTGAGCATCTTGCGAACCTGTTCATTGATCACTTTGCGTTACGAAGGCCATACACGATGTGGTTTCTGTCAGAGAGGTCTTTGAAATGTCGTGTCGATTTTGTGCTTTATACGAGAAGCAAGGAATGACGGTAGATCGCCTAGCTGAGTGAAATAAAAAGGGTGGAATATTTGCGCAGAATACTCGCCACTTCATTGTGTTTGTTAGTGCTGAGTAACTTGTGAATCATAGACATAATAATGGTGTACGTGGCGTGCAGTATATTGCAATTGATCTTGTCCGGGGAATCGCTGCTCTGAGCAAGAATAGCTAGGGAGAATACTTGATGTTCACAAATTTTTGCAAGTTTCAGGTCCTCCGGCTGCACTGTAGGTTCAGGAAGCAGTTGATCACCTGTAAACAAATATGCTCTTGTGCAACTAATAGCGTGCAGTATGGTATTAGAACAGTCTTCTTTGTGCATCTGAGATGAACGGGCTCCACGGTTGTGTCAACTATTTTCTCGCTTGCAGAGAAACAGGCAACAAGGACACACTTTGAAGACAATGGCGGCACAGTGGTGTCCGCAGACACCCAAAGGGCACTCTCCTAAGAGGGCGGATTTTTCATAAGCGCAACGGGGACATCAGAACCTAATGTAATTTGTCTTGTACGGCAATCAACAGTGGCACCGCATAGCTTGAGAAAATCGAGTCTTAGAATGACGTCATGCGTAATATTAGGGAGAACAGCAAACTCTGCAACAAACTTCTGGCATGTCAAAGTAACAGTCACAGGGTCGACACAAACATGATGTAACATATCATCGCTCACTCCGCGAAACGTATCAGGATGGTCCCAACGTAAATAAATTTTAACGTTGGGATGGTCCCAACGAAACATAACTTTTCGTCCAAGGAGGCAGGTGAAAACAAAATTTATCGTTTACACGGTTGCACTTG